GAGGAGGAGGAGGAGGAGGAGAATTGTGGGGTCTTTGATGCTCTCTGAACTTGGTGGGTTTCTTACTGATGTTTCATTCCCCAACTAGACAACATCATCCCTACTCTTAAATATTCACTGTAGCATATTGAGCAAGTCTGAAGGTTACCTGGATATCCTTATGTTGGGTTTAAAACTAATGATTTCCAATTTGGCACATGGGCCTGGCCTCCTGGGCAAATTGATACAAATCTAGGAACTTATTTTGGGTAAGGGGTGCAATAGGCAGGTAACTCCCCTTTGGGGGCTTGGAAGCATGCCCTCTGCTATTGAGGGCTTCCTGCTTTTTTCCCTTTGTTTATTTAAAAAGTGCCCTGTTTTTGACTGAAATTGTTTTGAGGGGTTTTTGTGGTTGTCGTTCTTGAGATTCTTGAATCAGAATTCAGTGCTGGAAGGGAGGGGAGTTTGCAGAGAGGAGGAGGAGGAGGAGGAGGAGGAGGAGGAGTATGTGGGATCCTTGATGCTCTCTGAGCTTGCTGGATTTTTTTGCAGATGTTTCATGAGCCAAACTAGGTAACATCATCAGGGCTAGCCCTGACTAGTTTGGCTCATGAAACGTCTGCAAGAAAACCAGAATGCTCAGAGAGCACCAAGGACCCCACAGTACTCTTCCTCACTCCCTTCTAGCACTGATGATGTTACCTAGTTTGGTAACGAAACGTCTGCAAGAAAGCAACCAAGCTCAGAGAGCACCGGGGACCCTTCATTTCAACTCTGAGCTAGAAGTCTTCTCCTTGATCAGAAGCTGATAAAGCTGCTTCTTCTTCCTCTTCCTCTTCCTCTTGCTCCTCCTCCTCCTCTTCCTCTTCCTCTTCCTCTTCCTCTTCCTCTTCTTCTTCTTCTTCTTCTTCTTCTCCTTCTCCTTCTCTCTCTCTCCCTCCCTCCCTCCCTCTCTCTTTCTCCCTCCTTTCTCTCTCTCTCTTCCTCCTTCCCTCCTTCTCTCTTTCTCTCTCTCTATCTCTCACACACATACACACACTGGAAAATAACCACTATTCACAAGGGATAGGGAAAAAAAGGCCATTTTAGCATACTGTTATAAGTTACAATAGGTTCTTGAGACAGACAGGGACAGGAAAATATTTCCGATTAGCCTACTTACCAACCAATCAGAGGGAGTTGCAGGAGCATGGTTTTAACCTCACGGGCATCTGAAATGATAAGTTACGAAAGCTGGTTAGGAGACACCAGTCTACCGAAGATGTATGCTTAGCCCCCAAGCAGAACCCAGACAAGAGCGGGGTCTTCCCTTGAGAAAGACAGAACTAACAGCCGACGCACCCTGCAATTTGTTTTTTTTTAAATTCAAGGCATTCTTTGGGGACAATATTCTTTTTTTGAGATTTCCTGAAAAAGCCAGAAGAAATGCGACAGTCACGGGACCTAGGAAGTATTTGACTATTTTCAGCCAGTGTATTTCTAGAGTTGCTTCCTTCAACAGCTTTCGCCTGAAGTTAACTTTTGACCCACTGATTTTTATCTGAAACCCGTGCCTAGAGGAGAGACAAACCAATCTGGCGCTCTCCAGATTAATTTTATGTTATTAATGTCCATCATCTCCAGTCAATTAGGTCAGAAGCAATAAACAGACAGGTAGTCCTTGACTTACCGCCACAATTAAGCCGAAACATTTGTTAGTAAGTGAAACATTTGTTAAATGAATGTTACCCCGTTTCACGACCTTTCTCGCCACCGTTGCTAAATGCAGTGGTTAAGTTGGTGACACCGTTGTGTTACCAACCTTGCTTGTTGCTTGTCGCAAAAGGGGATCGCATGACGTCCCTGGGACACAGCAACCATCGTAATCATCAACCGGTTGCCCAGTGTCCAAATTTTGATCAGGTGACCATGGGGATGCTACAATGGTCGTAAGTGTGAAAAAATGATCACTTATTTCAGTGCTGTTGTATCTTTGAGTGGTAACTAAATGAACTGTTGTAGGCTGAGAGCTACCTGCAAAAGGGAACCGTACCCCAAAGCATTTGGAGAACATCAAGTTGCCTAAACCTGGTCTGAATTTTAATGGTTAGTGAGGCATTCTCTCCCCTACATTTTCTGAATCGTCCTCATTCTGAAGGTTCTGGAACCGTCCACCATAGAATAGCTAGTTATAAAAAGCAGAGACATCACCCTGCCAACAAAAGCGCGTATAGTCAAGGCCATGGTTTTCCCAGTTGCAATGTATGGCTGTGAAAGTTGGACCATAAGAAAGGCTGAGCGACAAAGAATTGAGGCCTTTGAACTCTGGTGCTGGAGAAGACTCCTGCGAGTCCCCTGGACTGCAAGGCAATCAAACCAGTCAGTCCTAGAGGAGATCAACCCTGACTGCTCTTTAGAAGGCCAGATCCTGAAGTTGAAACTCAAGTGCTTTGGCCACCTAATGAAAAGGAAGGACTCGCTGGAGAAGGGCCTAATGCTGGGAAAGATGGAGGGCAAGAGAAGAAGGGGATGACAGAGAATGAGGTGGCTGGATGGAGTCACTGAAGCAGTAGGCGTGAGCTTCAATGGACTCCAGAAGATGGTAGAGGACAGGAAGGCCTGGAGGAACGTTGTCCATGGGGTCGTGATGGGTCGGACACGACTTCGCAACTAACAACAAAGTTACAACTAACTAGCTAACCAGCCTCAGTTGCCTCAGTGACCTTCTCTCTCCTGTCATTCTAGAGCGGAGTGGATTTCAAACTCCAGGTATTTTTGTAGTCCAGGTTACCATGGCTGGTAATTGGAGATTAGAGATGTTGTTGCCAGGAAAGATATATTCAAATAAATCACCATCCAGAGCTAACCCAGATTAATGGAATGTGGTTGTATTTCTCGACTTACAACAATTGGTTTAGTGACCGTTCAATATTACAACGGCACTGAAAAATGGGACATAGGACCGTTTTTCACACTTATGATTCCCCGTGATCAAAATCCAGATGCTTGGCAACTGATTTATGTGACATGGTTCCGACAGATGAAACTCTTCAAAAGAACTTCGAGGCATTGTTTACCTTAAAGAATCTTTTATTCGAGAAACAGAGCATCGGCACAACATAGTTAAAGCCAAAAACTGAATTCCCCTCCCCTGGGCACAAAGTAGTAAAGCACAATTCCCTCCTCCAATTAACAGTCATAAATCACATTCCCCAATTAGCTTGAAGCGCCGGCTTTCTCCCCAGCTCTCCAGCCAGCCAAATCTTTATCCGCTCTGGGCTCAATAACCTTGATTCCCACAGCTGAGTATTTGTTGTTATGTCTAACTGGACTCTTGTTCACATCCCCCCTCCCGGCGTCCTCTAATTCTAAAAACAAAAGAGAAAAGATGGCTACATTTCCATCTTTTGTCAAAGCAAAAGCATCTGATGTTAGCAGCGTTGACATCATGTTTGTGACTGACTTGTCAGAAGGTCGCAAAAGGTGACACAAGCAAAGTGTCAAGGATAAAACTTTGGCAACTACCTGCCTCTGTGTTTCAACTTGCCTTTAGATTAAGGTGGGGGAAGAGGTGTTACTTTCAAGTGACTTAGATGGAGAAACAAAACTTCTTCGATTCAGCTGCAGACCGTGGGAGCCTGAAGGCTCGTCAAGGACACAAGAACAGATGTGGATTTGAAGCAGACGGTTCCCATAACAAAGTGGATTTTTTTGACAATGGATTACATAAGACATTGGTTGTTTGGCTGGGAAAACTATTGTTTACGTCTATGAATGGGTGTTGGAATCTCAAGAGTTATTTTTGCTTTGACATAACCAGGCTGTATATTCAATAAACAGTAAGCTTTTCGGAAACGAAATGAATCCGGAATTTTGTTTGGGTTCTCGAATTGGATGTTGACACGAAGTCAACGGGGGAAGCCGTATTACTAATTTAACAACTGCAGTGATTCCCTTAACAAGAACGGTGGCAAGAAAGGCCGTAAAATGGGGCAAAACTCACTTAACAAATGTCTCATTTAGCAACAGAATTTTTTTGGGGGGGGGATCAATTGTGGTCATAATTCGAGGATTACTTGTGTTCCAAAACTGACACATCGCTGTTTGGGAAATGTTTCCCCAGAGAGGAAATTGAAGGAAATATCAGTTAGATATTTGTGCATAACACACACACACACACATATAACTGGAATATGCAGCACGGAGCCAGTTGGAAGGCCAATCAGCTGCTTACCTGTCTAACTAGTCTTTCAGGTGGGTTGATGTCAGAGCAGTTGCAGTTTCACCTCTAGCCTGCAACTGGGGACACTCTCACGGGCTGCTTTGATTCATTTTGTCAACATGTTTTGCTTCTTACTACCTTACTACGTCCTGGGAAGGCTCCGTCAATAACCTCCAGATCTGCCCAAATGGGATGTTGAGTTCGCCGAGAAAAACAAAAGTTGGGGTTCTCCCGTGTTTCACCTTGTTTTGGAAATACGATTTGGAATGTGAAAGACGACAGAAGAATAGCGTGCGGCTTGATAAACTTCAAGAGGTGACTCTTGAGGAATTAAGAGACAGCGTCACCTTCACAGGCCCTGTTTTCAGAGGACACAAGAGAGCCAGCTATATGCTTTCTCCTGAATCTGGTACTTCACCTTCCTGTTCTGTCAGCCCATGATAATGGACTGGTGATATCTGAACATTAATTGGACTTTCAGCATGGACTTCATAAAAATGTTGTAGTTTATAGTTGTAGACCAGGGCGTCCAACTTCAGAAACTTTAACACCTGTGGACTTCAAGTCCCAGAATTTCCCAGCCAGCTTCAACTCCAATTCTATCTATCTATCTATCTATCTATCTATCTATCTATCTATCTATCTATCTATCTATCTATCTATCTATCTATCTATCTATCTATCTATCTATCTATCTATCTATCTATCTATCTATCTATCTATCT